CAACTTAAGCAAAATAATAAGCTGCAGAGTCCTTGAAGCTGTCTTAATCTTGGATTCCTATTGCTTTCTTTTTATAAATCGCTGTTATGTTTAATACAATTTTTTGTGGGATCTGATAAATTACATTTGCATGTAAACTACATTTAACTTATTGTATGCTTCTGTTTTCTTTTTCCAGGGGTGTCGAGACGTTTTGACATCTACTTTTACATTTTTCACAAAGTGCTATTTAAACAGTGCGTTAAGTTGTTTCGCGAGTGTTGAACAGTGTGTTCAATTAGCTGGTTCATCGTAGCTGTTTTAACACAAGGATTATTGCCTTCAGAGGGTAACTTTCATTTATATAATATCTATTTTTTATGTGCACCTTGTCTACCATTTTTTAATTTTAACTTAATTTTTTACTTTTTCCAGGAGGGATTTACAAAGTGTAAGTCAACTTTCTCTGCTGGCAGCCAGGTTAGTGAGCATGTTAGTGTTAATATTTATTATTGCCCCAGCAGCCCATATAATAATTTGGTTCAATACTGACTGCATGTAATTTGTAGGTCACTTTATCTAAGTTGCTGTTACATTTAATTCAATTGTTTTTTATGATCTGATAAATAACTTTTGAGTGTAAATTACATTTAATTTATTGTACACATTGTACAGTTCTATTTTCTTTTTCCAAGGGCATTGAGACATTTTTACATCTACTTTTACATTTTTCACAAAGTGCTATTTAAACAGTGCAGTGCGTTAAGTTGTTTCGCGAGTGTTGAACAGTGTGTACAGTTAGCTGGTTCATCGTAGCTGTTTTAACACAAGGATTATTGCCTTCAGAGGGTAAATTTCATTTATATAATATATCTGTTTTTTATATGCACCTTTCTACCATTTTTTTAATTTTAACTTAATTTTTTTCTTTCTCCAGGAGGGATTTACAAAGTGTAAGTCAACTTTCTCTGCTGGCAGCCAGGTTAGTGAGCATGTTAGTGTTAATATTCTATTTGAGCCTAAACAACCAATTTAATCATCTTGATTCAATCTGATGGGTCTGCAATGAATGAAATGCATATTTTATGGAATTAGTGTTCCAAAAATAAAACAATATTTGCATCGCCTAGTACAGAACTAAAGTAAATGTCAGTTTTGGCCAAAGAATAGGAAGAAAATCTTCCATGCCACCCACATCATCACTCAAAACATACACTCAATAACAATAATAATAGTTGAAAATACTACAAAGCTATTATATGTTTGTGACCAGACATGTCATTAAGCCTATATCAAAACAATTGTGATTCCTACTGAGTACAATTACATTTTCGCCTAAACTGAAGATATTGTGAACTTGATAGCGTTCTCCTGTCTTCAGTTTTATATTCATAGTCTTCATAGAAACAGTGTATTGTTTAATTTTTATTTTAAGTGTCAGTGCGACTGAGTCATTTTGGTAAGTAAAACAGCATTGCATTTTTGATGTATTTGTTAGAATTTTTATTATTTTTTTCATAAATGTTTAAAATTTAATTTTTCCTTCAATTTTCTAGGTTCGCCTTACACATCTTCCCTTTTATATGCCTTAGAACATCACCCTTTTCTGGTTCATCAGTGCTAATAAGTAGGTCACTCATGAGTAGCCTTATTAATTTAGTTTATAATTTAATTAAGACCAAGATTTATCATCATTTTAAGTTTATAGTTTTAGTTAATCATAAATAGTAATTGTATATTATTAATTATGTGTTTATTTCCTTTACCCTACTTGCTATAGTTACGTACTAAATTTGTATATTCGTATTAGATTTTTTCCTAGCTGGTCAAAATTAGTAGAAATGATGAAAAGGTTGGGTGAATATGTAGATTCCCTTTTTGTAAATGATGGCTCTATTGACAGATTTGTTGTTTGCAATGACCCCAAATTCGAGCATTAAACACCCCATCAGGTTAAATGAGTTTCAAATCTAGTCCCCTTCTTTTATTTTTAAATTTAAGTTGTGTTTTGTTTCATTTAGATGTTCTTTAAATTCCGAATATTTGTCTGACTTAGGTAAGTGTTCTTTAACTCTCGTTTTAATTTCTCTACTGCTTTGTCCTGTGCATTTAATGTCACAATTATTGCAATTAAGTTAGTAAACCCTGCTTTTTGACAAATTGTTAACTCTGTCTTTTGGTTTTAAGAGGATGTTTTTAAGTGAACACGGACCTTTAAAAGCTACTCTTAAACTTCTCGTTACCTATTTACCAGTTCTCATTGTCTCTGAAGAGTCATAGAGTTCAGTTCGTTTTTTTAGATTTTAAACTTTATTGATAAATCAAATTTAATTGAATTTTAATTGTTAAATTTTTAAACTGAACTAGATGGATAAGTAGTCAAAACAATTTCCTGTGTTATTCTCCCCTTTTCCTCTTAAATCTTGGGAAAGTGGTAAAAAAAAAATCATCAATTATCCTAGTAAGGAGTATATTGAGAATGTAAGTCCTCCTTGTTTAGAGGCAGAAAGGCACTACAAAAAATCCTGAACAGATTCGATTAGGATTCAAAATATATGAATAGTTACTACTAAACAAAATCTTTTATCATTACTGTAACTTCAAATATAAAATGAATTGCAGAGCTGAATAAAAAATTAATTAAACCTTGATTCAACCTTAAAGTGATCAGTTATAAGTACAAAACAAGTGTTAAATTAATTAATTAACGATTGCCAGTTCACACTTTAAAAGAATGTTTATCCATAAAATTTAGAATTCTACCACTAACACCCCATTAAGGTACTGTATTTAGGATACCACATATTCAGGTTGACAGCATTTTTAAGGTCAAGGAAAATAGCAACAACATATTTCATTTTCCTGAAAGCCTCCTGGACTTTGGTTTCTACTTTCTAGTATGTCAATACAGTCCAGACAGGAGTGTCCCTTTCTACATCCAGATTGCTGTGTTATCATGAAGTTTTCTTTTTCTATGAACCATACCAACCACATCTTTACTACTCTCTCACACTCACAGTCACTTTGCTCAGGCAACTGGTAAGTGAAATTGGTCGAAAACTTTGACTAAACATTTTGTATATTCCAATTTTTAAGTCTTGGTATCACCTCTGCCTTTCTCCCAGAGGAGGGAAAAGAACGCTCACAAAGGATGTTATTATGTAATCTCAACAATCTCTGATTAAACGGGTTGAGATTTTAAGCGTAGTGTCATGGATATCATTGGGCCCAGGAGAAGACCCTCAGACATTTGATATAGCGTACTCAACTTGAGTTAGTTTAGAGGGTGATTGTCATCTCCTGTAACATCAACCTCAAAACTTTTATTTTGTATTTTTTGGGTAATGAAATCAGGGTCGTAGTGGTTGTTGTCCAAATTTGAAAACGCTTACCCAACTCATTAGCTATGTTCGTAGGGCCAGTCAGGGTTTTAATATCTACAGACAGTTCCAGCAATCTGGCTGGGAGAGTTCTTCCACGAACAGACCTCAATTTTTTCCAGGCCTTGGTAAGCAGTGTATGTCTGCATAAGGTCTTAGTAAACTTGTTTGGTGCACTTCTTTAAACATTGCTCTTGCCTTTTATTGCTTACATTTATTGAATTTTCTTAAGTTGCTTTAAGGCTCATCTTCTATTTATTAAAGCTTTTTTGCAGTCTTCATTTGTCCAAGGTCCAGATGGGCTATGGCTTTGACTGGTTGATTTTAGGAGAGTTTGATTTGCCGCCGTGATTATTAAGTTGGTAAAATTTTCAACTTCTAATTCGATATCAGTAGGAGGGTAAGTTTATCCCAGAATAGGTTCCAGTGATATTTTCTATCACCCATCAAGTTTTCTACTCAAGTGAAGGTTTTCAAAGTGTTTTTGGACAAGGATGGTCACATCCATAGTAATTTTCAGATACAGGCCAGATAAAAAAATTAAAAATGAAGTCTACTAAAAGACAAGTCTAAATTTGAAAAGATGCTGGTTGCACGACATATATGTGGGGTTTTTGGTAGGTTATCTTAACAGACCAGTTTTATTGTATAATCTCAACAAGCTGTGATTAAAGGGGGTGAAATTTTAAGCATAGTGTAGCGGATATCATCGGGTCCAGGAACAACAAAATAACGGATCTCTTCTGATCCATTTGAGAATATTTTCATGGGAGCTTGAAGATGACGATCCCCATGCTGTATTATGGAGATTAAAATTTCTAAAAATTAATGCAGGTTATGGTAATTGAAAAAATAAGTCTTCAATATCTTGTGAGGCTATATGTTATTAGAGGATAAATATATTCAAGGGATTGCGCATTTGAAAGGTGTCTGAAGTGAAACAGCAACGACCTGTAAATTTGTATTTAGTTGAATTATTGTAGAGTTGAGGGATGAGTCAACAAATATTGCTGCTCCCCAAGAGGATATAGAGTCTGAGATGTCTTTTCTAAATATATCAAAATTTTTAAAAGTAATTTTATGTTTCCTGGAGGAAAAGAATTTTCGGTTGTAAATCTTTAAGCAAGATTTTCAAATTGTCTTGACAAGCCGGGGAACCATTAATGTTCCTCTGCTCTACTGTAAAGGTTTGATTTGCCATCACTTTGATTGGGATTGGGGTCTCCTTTCAGTGGGGTAGTAGTTTTCCTATTGGAAGATTTATAAGTGTGAGAGAGATGGTTAACCACAGTATTGAAGATGGTCAGGCTGAGTAACTGATGCAAGTCCCTCAGACAAGATGACTAACCCGGGTCAGGCCAACCAGGTAGTGAACATCCTCCTCTCTGAATCTCTCTTTTACAAATGTAGGTTGTGATTGGTATTGTATGCCGTAAATAAAGATTATTATTTTTATTATTATTATTATTAAGAATATGGTGTTGAGAATATTGAGATATACTCAGGTAGGGGGAATGGATGGTTAAAAACTGCCTTAATCCTTAAAAATTATATATTGACAAAATGTACAGGGGAATTGTTAAAAAATCATATTTAATAATAAAACATTGAATCCAGTTCAGAACGGCATACGGTGGTCGACAATCGACCTAACAACACCGTCCCTTGACACCCTTTTATACCGCACAGTCTTCATCCTTCCTGGTGTGATTGAAATCGGCGTTCGGTTTAGATCTAGTTCAAAAAGACTCTCAAATAAAATATTTAAAAAAAAAAATTACAAAACCAAAAAAATATTTTACAATTGAAAGAGTTGTGACGGGGGGTGGTAAAGAAATTGTACCATTTACCGAATGATATCTATACTTTTTCAACCTAAAAAAAAGGCTCAAATAGTTAATCCAAATAATGTTATTACATACCTCCCCCCCAACAAAAACAAACAAACAAAGAATGTCAGTTTATTGCTTTCAAAACCCTCGTTTCGTCCAATTCAGTCTCCGTTTCTGGAATGACTGCGATGTCGCTCTGGCCACTCGTGCTTGACCGTTCGTCATAGTTGATCATTGAGTACTCGCTTTCTATTTAATAAAAAAAAATTAAACTCAAATTTGTAAAAATATTTTTCACCTACAACCTTCCATGCAGTCAGAGTCGATTCGAGTCGGAACGAACTTCGACGAAGGCTGTTTGTATTCTATCTTATCTAAGAGAGGAGAAGAAAGTTTAAAATAAATCATGCTGTGATCGTCATCGAACCGACCTCTCACCCTGGTAGCTGCTCTCTTCGCTCTCGCTGTCTTTGAACATGTTCTTCTTCATCTTTTGCCTGAGCCGCCTCGGTTCTGAAATGGGTATTGTTAGGTTCTTGTTTTTTTTCCAAATTGACGGTTTCACCTACGGTCAAAGTGCGACAAAGTGAGGTCACTGCGTTGGCGGATGGCCTTCTTTACTGGGTGGCGTTCGTAATATGAGCGGGTTTTGTCTATAACATTTCCATTATGAGCAAAAAAATTATTTCTGGCAAAAAATATTATAAATATTTTTAAAAATTGAATTTACCTTCCAGAAAGTTTCCCTCACTTCTGCTCTTCTGCACCAAGAAATAATTCCTCGAGAAGTTCGAGTCTGATTTTTTATTTTTGTTTTTAATATAAAATTATATTTTAGAATAAAAAACTTAAATATACAATAATATAATGTAAATTTTAATTGCCTTTTATGCTGTGACGCGCAGTTTTCAGGAATTTCTTCTGGCGTGCTGTCACTTTTACAGGCTCTGAAACGACAAAAAATTGGCGCCCTTACAGGAAAAAACAAACAAGAAAAGGCACCGCCCACGCCAAAAAAAGCCCTAATTTGGTTTTGTAATTTTATATTTAAAAGTAAAAAAAAAAAAAAAAAAAAAAATTACCTCTGATTGGCTCGACGACGGGCTGTGAACTGTACGAGAAGAAAGGTAGCGAGACTCTAAAGCCACGCCCAAGGATGATAGTCATGAGGAAAATGATGCACATGAGTGCAAAGATAGGCGATACAATTGGCACAATGATCCATGCAATAACTTCTGAAAGCCAGGACAAGCGGCTCGTGTAGTTGGCCGTCATGTGGCCGAGGGCATCGCCAATGATCGGCAGAGGTGTCATACACATCGATGTGAATGTTTTGGCCAGGACGTTGCTGAATACGACCTTCTTCATCGGATCGACTTGCGCCCAGTGATATTGCTTGCATTTTTTACTAGAACCGACTGAAATTCAACAAATCAATTGATTTTTACCGTTTAAGAAATTAGAATAGATTAGAATAGATATGTTTTTACAAAGCCAAGTTTTTATTTGGTTCATGTATGTGGAACTGGTTGAAATGCATTCTTCAGGTATGCTGTTCATCTCTGCGAGCGTGACGAGTGCCTCGATTCGCTTTTCCTCAATCTCAATCCACCAAGTGAAACCAAGACCTATGCTGAAAGCGATCGTGAAGACGAGGAGAAATGTCTTGGTCAGGGAGACGCCGGTCAGGACGAGCCAGAACGCTATCAGCACGATTGAACCGATCACTACAACGATTATGAACTCGGGACGAATGTCGGGCTGGAAAAAACGTGGTGTCTCTTCAATCTCTTCAGCATGTTGGGCGAGCTTTTCCTCAAATAAAAGGAACATTGCCTTGTCGAGGTCCGCCCAGGTGTATTCATGGCGTCGTTTCGTAGCGTAAGCCTGGATGATTTGCAGTGACGTCGAGTTGAAGTAGAGCTTCATTGGAACTTTAACATCCATACCTGGTGCCAGGTGAATACCCTTAGAAAAGAAAAAAATACATATAAATTGGACAGTTCACAAAAACCTCTGTTTAGAACAACTGTTTCAGTCTGTTACATCCGACAATACAAAAAATGTGTGTGTGCCACAATCATTTCAGACAGTTCTGGCCAATTTTTTCAGACTGTCAGACCCGAGAGTACAAAATTAGTGATAGGACATGCAACAATAATTTCAAACTGTCAGATCTGATATTAAAATAAATTATTGCTGGATGTCTAAAGGCCAGACAGTTGGATGAAACAATTTTTCCTGACTATCCAATCTGATAGTAAAAAATGTTTGGACTGTTCATGCAATGACTATCAGACAATCTGATCCAAAAACAGTTTTAAACAATCAGACCCAACAATCATTTCAGACTGCCGGATTCGACAGTTCTGTCTCATCCACCCTTTCTTTGGGCCCACCTGCAAGTTTGTTCTTCTCAGCAGATGGTTCAGGAATCGCATCATGTAAATGGTGCAAGCACTCTCATCGCATGACCTTTCCTGTTTTGCATCGGAGCCTCCCTCTCCGAACATGCCCGGCAGCCAGGACTGCTCGCCTGCCGAAGAGACCTCTACAAAGAAGAAAGTGTACCAAACCAACCCAACTGCCCATCGCATCTGTAAAAAAAGATTGACGCGTTTCAAAACGACCGATCGTTCATGATTTCACAGTTCAAAGTTAGTTTCACAAACAAACAAAACAATACAAGGAAACCAAAACATACAGGCTCGACTGAAATTGTTTCATCGAGTCAACGGAGAGACGCAATAAAAACAAATCAAATCATAATAATCACATTTTTATTAGATTTTATATTTAGTAAATAATTTGAAAAACTAATTAGAATATAATTAAATTAATTATTTATTTTACCTCTTGTTTTGTTTACGTTGAAATGTTGCTCGATGTAACCTCTCTGCTTTCCACCAATCGATTATCTCAAAATGTAAAGATCGATAAAAACGTATTTCTTGCAAAATAATGTTTTTAATTAAATTATAAACAAGCCATAAAAAATTAAAAACATGATATTATTTATACTTAAAATCAAATGAAATGTTATAATTTGAAGTTAAACTTGTTTACTAACAATAAATAGTAATCGATTGTATAGGAGAATCGATATGTTGTTTTCAATGGAAGCGTTTTTTAACTTTATTCGTTTTTCAGCTGCTCTAGTGAAATCAAAAGCCACATTAAGAGACACATACAAATCACAAAAGAAAAATAAATAAATAAATTTAAAAAATAAAAAAAAATAAAAATAACAAAAATTAAAAAAAATAATCAAAAAATAACAAACAAAAAAATATATATATTTGCAACAAATAATTACAAGTATAAAGAATCCATTTTTTTAAAACTTATTTGCGACAGTTGTTACGAGTTTTTCCTTGTGTGCGTCCATTTTAATCATTGTGCTCATCAGAAGATTGGATCGGTTTTTTTCATTAGGTGAAATACCAGATCTTTGGAATGGTATATTCTCTGACTTCTGGCATAATTATGTATCATTCAGCCAATAACAAGTTGATTTGAACCATTTTTTGTTGTTGTTGTTTTGTCATAATTTCGCTCATGGTTTGACATTTACTGCCTGTTTCGTTATCTTCCTTCACCCGGCCAAGAAATTATAGTGTTTTCTTTAGACTGAAAAAAAATTAAGCAATTTTTAAAGTTTTTTTACAGTTTTGTGCAGCTTGATGGGTTTGTGGTAAGCGCAAACTTTTTCTGTCTTTTCTGATATTGTTAAAATCAGAGTCGGTGGTGATTATGCTGATCGATATCGCGTTTGTATCTGAACTGTTTCTTATTTGTTCTCACCTAGACCAGACAGACGTACACATTTTAACATTTTGTCCGACCTCTTTGGTAATTCGGCTATGGGCCCATAAATGTGCACATCTTTCCTTTGATTTAAGCATACCTAGATCATAATGTCGACCAGGCAGGCATTCCAATTAAGAATACATGTCTATCAATCAGTGTTTCAACTGACAGTAAGCCAACATAAGACGGACTATTTATCAAAATGGATTTCGATGAAGAAGGCATGTTGATCACGATGGGATTTCGATCAAGTCGTTGTTTCGATCACGATATCTACTAAATTTCTATCTAGACTTCATTGCGATCAGGCGATTTAGGCGGCATCGCAATCTGAATGCCACATCTCACGAGGGCTTTTTTTGTAAAAATCTAGACAGCATGCCCAGCTAATCAAGTCGATTTAGACGGCATCGAGGTACACAAAAGTGAAAACAACCACAGAATTGCCTTCTTGATTCTTCTACATAGATCTTTTTTATATATTTATTTATATATTATTATTTATTTAAATATTTCTATAGTATTATTTCTATATTTTTATTTTTATATGCTCATAAATCAGTCTTAAGCCGGCAGTCGTCGAGTACACAACTCTATTGTTTCACTCAATAGTGTCAGAAGTCAGGTCGGAGTTTAGCGATGTCTGATAGACGACTCAAACTCCATGAATGTGGATGATATCAGCCCATCAATTATTAACCTTAAGAGACCCCGTTCATCATCCGAAACGGAAATTAGACCAACTACAAAAAAAGTTATAGTTTCGAAAATGTCTCGTCGACTAAAGAATTGCTGTACTAAGTATGTAAAACCGAAATAGCATACAGAGACCAAAAGAACTATACAGAAAACTCCAGCCACCAGAGTGTAAATCATGCGCTGAGTTGGGGAAAAAGAAATAGTAGCATCAATGACATTTCAGGTGACACAGCTAACTAAAATCTAGACAACGTTTACTTCTAATAACATAAGTGTTCCTCCTCCTTAGTCTATGAGTAGAACTTAATATTTAATTCGTAAAAAACAACTCAAATTACTTTATCTCCAAGAACCGTATTTTAAATCGAAAGAAAAAATATCAATAAAAAATGTTCGAAAAGATTCCATATCATTTTCCGTCTTAAAAGCTTTCAAGCTGGGTGGCGAGTGGGTCACAGCCCAGGAACCCCAGACAGCGGAAACCAGGGCCCCGGCAGTATCACGCGCCCCGGTACCCTTTCATAACCGCCACCCGCCTCTTTGATGTTGGTTGGAATTTCCAGCCGATGTCTTTCTCTTCATATTTTTTGCAATTTGTCAAAATGTGTTTTTCATTTCGATCTCTACTATATGTCGATATAAACGTCATTCCGCTCACGATGCCATTTTATTTTAGACTACAATTTCGATCATTACAACCTGCCGATCACGATGGCATCTCGATTTAGACGGCATTTCGATCACGGTCGCATGCCGATCTTGACGACTTGTCCTTCTAAACAATAATCCGACCTTGACACGACGTCGATCAAGAAGACATGTCGATCTTGACGGCATGTCACTCTTGCTCTGGCATCTCGATCTAGACGGCATTACGATCTCTATGGCCTGTCGATCAGGAGGATAGTTCTGTTGTAGGATAGTTCTATATTTATTTCTTTCGTGACCAAATTGCTGTCAAGTAGGTATGTCGGCCAAAATGCCATTTCGATGAAGAGGGCGTGACAACTTAAACGGAGTGTCGATCAAAATTGCATGTCGATTCACTCACGATAGCATCTTGATGTAGACGGCATGTCCATCTAAACAATTAGTCGAATTGGCCTAGTCCAAGCCTGTCTGCTTTTATTGTATCTTTTATGTTGTGTAGGATCTTTTATGTTTTTTTCCTATTAAACAAAGCAATTAGTCATAAGCAAATATTAAGGTAACTCGATGAGCCGGGGTACTGATCCGGAGGTGACAATAGTTTTTCAACTCAACCATACTTTGCATAATAATTGTGCAGGATTTTTAACGTAATATGCTCGAACTAGACAGAGTATCATGATGGCATCTCGATCTAGATGGCATGTTCATCTGGACTCGAAGTTGATCAATAAGGCATGTCGGTCCCAAGTACATTTCTTTCCTGGCATATTAGCATATTGATCCTGAAGGAATTACTTTTATGATGAATGAAATACATAGTGGTACATGTCCGATTTTATGGCATCTTGTATTTTGTAGGATTTGAACGTATTGTTTAACTTTGAGAGATAAATATCCTCTGTAGCGTTTGGGTGATTGGGCATTTGGAAAAAGATAAAATACACGTTCCCGTGGGGATTTTTGGTCGTCGACGTTTTTTTAATAAATCTTAAGTACTTCAGCGACTAGTCCATTCAACTTTTGATTCTTTTTCAGAGGTTTCGTTTAGGTCATTGGATAAAATAACTCCCCTACATTGGTCAAACTTCCACCCGGGTTGCATTAACTACATGTTGTTTTTTCTCACAGCGATTATCAAAAAGAGAATGTATAATGTATAACAAAAAAGTGGAAATAAAGAATCGAAATATAAATTCCAAAGAAAACCCGTTAAAATAATAAAGAAATCATGTTAAGAAAAGAAAAAAAGAAAAATTTATGCAAAATAAAATTAAATAATAAAAAAACTTACGAATTCGAAAAAAAGTATGGCACAATTAAAATATCTCAAGACAAACTGCCAGGGACTATTGAGAGACACGATTGAGCTGTGCACTGGACGACTGCCGGATTAGGACTGCCAGACTGCCATGATGTCGTTTAGGTTGACATGATGTCTTAGTAGTGCCTTCACATTAGAATTATTTTATCCCCAAGAATTAATACATGCTGTAGACATTAACTTGGAAAACAAGTCCGATATAGATATCCCGGCTTTAAGAAGAAAATAATTTAAGAACCACGCGCTGCTACCAATTTTATCACAAACAGAAGAACAATAAAAAAAAATTCCTTTTAAAATAAGGGTTTATTATAATTCAAAAAAGAAACCAAAACAAAATTATTTAAATATTCTTTTGAAATAATAATATAAAATAAAATAAACTCCTTGTTTTAATTCTAAAATCCAAAATAAATTTAAAATAACTAATTATCAAAAAATACATAACAAACTAAAGTAAAAGGTAAATTAAAAGAGAAGGCTCACGAGGCCTGGAACGTCTTTTTAAAAATAAAAATATAAATTCCACTAATTATTAAAAAAAAAAAAAAAACCACAGCTGGCCCTTTTCTCAATCCTGTCTTTTCAGTCTGACCGCTAATTCAAGACTCCTCTTTTGTTTACCTCTTACTTCTTTTGCTCCCTCCCCTCTGTGCACCTTATTGGCCTGTTGTAAGGGGGGAATTAATATCTCCTAGTTTATTTTCCATTATATTTTTTATTAATTATTTTCTTTTTTTATTTGATAATTTGTAAGGTTCTATCAAATGGGAACGTTACATAAGTATTCAACCATGTAGGTTGTTTTCTGCCTTGATCCAAGTTAGTTTGCCACAATGCTGCCCAGCTCTCGGGGACGGGGACAGGAACAGGCAGGAGAAACGAAATCGCTTCGTGATTTACTTCTTGATCGACGAGTAGTCCAGATAGCCTTGTTGATTAGATAGGTAAGCCGTCTAGATGGAGATTCTCTCTAGATGGACATGTCTTCTTGATCTTTTGCTGGTCGTCTCCCAGGACAACTGACAAGTTCTTGTCCATCTCTGGCGGGGCGTTACTGTTGGAAAGGAATATGTGGGATACATCGAGCCTTTCACCACACTTACATGTTGGAGGGTTTTTCGTTCTATGAGATATTGATGGATTAATGGAGTGTGACCTATCCTTAGGCGGCATAGTTCCATTTCCTCTCTTCTGGTTTTTTGTGAAGAGGTTTATCACTTTTTTGTTGAATTTTTCTTAATTTATTGTTAGTGGCTCTATACCAAACATTTTCACATTTTTCTTTATTTTTATTTTTTATTTATGTGCAAATCGTTTCAGATCTCTAAAACTCTACCATGTGGGTTGTACTTGAATTTAGGACTTGTTTTGTAACTTTATCCGTCATTTCATTTCCCTTGATTTCTACATGTCTAGGAATCCAGCAAGGGTTAATGATATTGTTTTACTACTCATATCATGTATCTGTTCATATAT